GGTTCAGGAGGAGGATGGACAAGGATAGGATATCTAGATATGTCTGATGCTACTCAAAACTGTCCAAGTAGTTTTATTTATTATGTTAACAGTGGTAAAAGATACTGCAAGAGGAATTGGGGTTGCAGTTCTACTTCATTCTCACCAAATGGACTCAATTACACACAAATATGCGGGAGAGTCACAGCTTTTCAATTTGCACACACTGATGCAATCTCACCTGCAATTTTTGCTGGCCAAGGTATTGACTCTTATTACGTTGACGGTATCAGTATCACACGTGGGTTACCAAGGAAACATGTCTGGACTCTGATGTCAGCACTGTTTGAAAATTACCTCAGCAGTACCGATAGCTGTCCTTGTGCTACAGGAAGCACTATTCCTACACCTTCTTTCGTTGGTGATAATTATTATTGTGAATCTGGTAATCCTAACAGTTGGTATGCAAATAATCTTCTGTATCCAAATGATCCACTATGGGATGGTCAGGGTTGTACTTCACTTGAGAGTCCATGCTGTACCAATCCCAATCTCCCGTGGTTCCACAGGAATCTTACAAACAGCACCAACGAGCACATTGAGTTGAGATCCTGTGGAAACGAAGCTCCATGGAATGAAGACACCCCAATATCTTTCTATGAGATATACATCAAGTAAAACTTTAAACTTTATGCTAGTGCTGCTTTACCTTTTATTTATTTACTCTTAATTTTGCTGCTTCTTTTACTTATTTATATATTTTCCTGATTTTTTGTTGCTTTTTACAACTATAGGTCCCCATTTTTATTCCTCAACTTTTTTAATGCTTACTCTGGCTGCTTGTTGATATTGCTATTACCTTTTTGTATTAAAACTCTTTTTTAAACAGCGACTATCTTGTGCACACACAGAGCAAAAACATATCTATCATACAAAAGTAATCCAATTGTTGCATTAAATCGGTTTCCACCTCTCCTGAATCTGATTGAAATAGAGATCATCATTGATTCATGTGACCACACTTGGGAATATGAATTCATTATATATGAAGGGTGGGTCTGGGTGGGCCCTTTAATTCAAATTAATGAGCCACGCCTTTGGCTTTCACGCCTTTAGCTTTGCTGCAAATATGGAGAAAGGTGGAGAGAGTTTTTATGAAGTTGCTGATCACCAGTATCAATCAGAAGAGGATGACGTGAAGCTAGTCCAACATCCAACCTTTAGAGTTGACATGAAAGACCCCTACTATCCAGGGAGCAGCAACAGCAAGCTAGTTAAGCTGGTGGCCATATTGATTCTCCTCCAGCTAGCAACACTGGTATTTGTGATAGCAGTGGTTGGTATAACCGCCTCTATCTTACTGCAAACTGATCAAAATGAGCCAACAACTACTGGATCTCGAACTGGATCTGAGGATGGGGGGCTTTTTGGCATTGACTACGCACAAAATATTTCCATGCTTCAGAAAGAAATATATTCTCTTAACATGGCCCTCACTCAAGGGCAAGGAGGGATTGCACGAGTTCTCAATAACACAGCTGCAAAGTTAAGTGAGACAGCTTCTAAAGTTGATGAAATACAAGATTTTGCAGAAGATGAGGCAACAAAGTCGATGAACCAAACAAATATTTTGAATCAGGTCATGCAAACGACACAATCTACATCAGCTAAACTAACAGAAGTAGTCTCCACTCTCTCTAATATAAGAGATACAGGAACCAGTACTTCAAGTGTTGTGAATGACATCATTGGTGTTGTTCAAGAGCTACTTGAATTGCAAAATGCTTCGAGCATCTTTAATTCCATTATTCCTGTTTCATGCGCCGATATTAAGAGTGCACTACCAAACTCACCATCTGGTTGGTACCACGTCAACAGTAGAAATATTTACTGTAATATGGACGAGCTGTGTGGTTCAGGAGGAGGATGGACAAGGATAGGATATCTAGACATGACTGATGCTACTCAAAGCTGTCCAGGTACTTTGGCTCAACTAACTTACGGTGGAGTAAGATACTGCAGGAGAGCTGGTAGCACATATGGCAGCTGCAGTTCTACCACATTCTCGCCAAATGGACTCTATTACTCACAGGTATGTGGGAGAGTCACAGCTTTTCAATACGCACACACTGATGCAGTCTCACCTGCACGGGGTAACCATGGTATCAACTCTTGGTACGTTGACGGTATCAGTATCACACGTGGGAATCCAAGGGAACATGTCTGGACACTGATGTCAGCACTGTTTGATAATGTCCTCAGCAGTACCGATAGCTGTCCTTGTGCTACAGGAAGCACTATTCCTTCACCTTCTTTCGTTGGTAATAATTATTATTGTGAATCTGGTAATCCTAACAATTGGTATCAAAATTATCTTATGTATCCAAATGATCCACTATGGGATGGTCAGAATTGTGCTCCACTTGAGAGTCCATGTTGTACCAATCCCAATCTCCCGTGGTTCCATAGGACTCTCAACAGCACAAATGACTTCATTGAATTGAGAGTCTGTGGAAATGAAAGGCCATACAATGAGGACACCCCAATATCTTTCTATGAGATGTACATCAAGTGAAACTTTAAACTTTATGCTAGTGCTGCTTTACTACTCTTATTTAAGCAGCTTCTTTACTGATTTGTGCTGCTTCTTTTATTGATTTGTCCTTTTTATTTCCTGATTTATGCTGGGTTTTTTACTTGATTTTGCTGCTTTTTTACAACTAGAGGTCCCCAATTTTATTCCTTAACTTTTTAATCATTTTACTTTGTTCTGTTATATTGTTAGAATTATTACTTTAGTTGTGTTAGTACAATTATTATTATCACGATTATTATTATTTGTTTCGGTCACAACATACTCTGTCTGCTTAATGATAAAGGACATCTTGCAGGGGAGTAGGAACAGGGTGGACAAGTTGCCCCCCCCCCCAATATTATTTCAGAGGGGGCATTGCCCCCTCAATATCAGCCAAAGATTGACTGCAGTGTAAATATTCCTTACAATAATTTGATTTATTACAGGTTTGTACCTTGGGGGGGTGATAGGGGTGACAGGTCTCCCTCCTTTTTGCTGTCATAATAATAAGTATGGCATTGTTGTAGTTGAAAAACATGTTAAAATTGCTCTCTGAGCAGCCCTTTGTGAAAAATTTTCCCAGGGGGTACCCCCAGACCTCCCTTCTCATACATATACATGCATAGATCTACACACAATCTGTCTGCCCCCCCCCCCCAATTGAAAAATGGTTCCTACTCCCCTGTTTTGAAAGGGTCATAGAAAGAATGGACCATTATTAATAATTCATTACATGCAGTACCACGTGGGACTATGAATTCATTATAAAAGGTGGATCTGGGTGTGGCCACTAATTCAAATTAATGAGCCACGCCTTTGGCTTTGTTTTGCTGCAAATATGGAGAAAGGTGAAGAGAGTTTTTATGAAGTTGCTGATCACCAGTATCAATCAGAAGAGGATGACGTGAAGCTAGTGCAACATCCAACCTTTAGAGTTGATGTGAAAGACCCCTACTATCCAGGGAGCAGCAACAGCAAGCAAGTTAAGCTGTTAGCCATATTGATTCTCCTCCAGCTAGCAACACTGGTATTTGTGATAGCAGTGGTTGGTATATCCGCCTCTAACTTACTGCAAACTGATCAAGATGAGCCAGCAACTACTGGATCTCGAACTGGATCTGAGGATGGGGGGCTTTGTAGTATTGACTATGCACAAAATATTTCCATGCTTCAGAAAGAAATATATTCTCTTAACATGGCCCTCACGCAAGGGCAAGGAGGGATCACACGAGTTCTCAATAACACAGCTGCAAAGTTAAGTGAGACGGCTTCTAAAGTTGATGAGATACAAGATTTTGCAGAAAGTGAGGCAACAAAGTCAATGAACCAAACAAATATTTTGAATCAGGTCATGCAAACAACACAATCTACATCAGCTAAACTAGCAGAAGTAGTCTCCACTCTATCTAGTATCAAAGATACAGGGACCAGTACTGCAAGTGTTGTGGATGACATCATTGGTGTTGTTCAAGAGCTACTTGAATTGCAAAATGCTTCGAGTATCTTTAATTCCATTACTCCTGTTTCATGCTCTGATATTAAGAATGCACTACCAAACTCACCAACTGGTTGGTACCACGTCAACAGCAGAAATATTTACTGTAATATGGATGAGCTGTGTGGTTCAGGAGGAGGATGGACAAGGATAGGATATCTAGACATGACTGATGCTACTCAAAGCTGTCCAGGTACTTTAGCTGAACTAACTTATTCTGGATTAAGATACTGCAGGAGAGCTGGTAACACATACGGCAGCTGCAGTTCTACCACATTCTCGCCAAATGGACTCTATTACTCACAAATATGTGGGAGAGTCACAGCTTTCCAATACGCTCACACTGATGCAGTCTCACCTGCACTGGGTGGCCGTGGTATCAACTCTTGGTACGTTGACGGTATCAGTATCACACGTGGGAATCCAAGGGAACATGTCTGGACACTGATGTCAGCACTGTATGATAATGTCCTCAGTAATACTGATAGCTGTCCTTGTGCTACAGGAAGCACTATTCCTTCACCGTCTTTTGTTGGTAACAATTATTATTGTGAATCTGGTAATCCTAACAATTGGTATCAAAGTGGTCTTATGTATCCAAATGATCCACTGTGGGATGGTCAGAATTGTGCTGCACTTGAGAGTCCATGTTGCACCAATCCCAATCTTCCGTGGTTCCACAGGACTCTTAGCAACACAAGTGACTACATTGAGATGAGAGTCTGTGGAAATGAAAGGCCATTCGCAGAGGACACACCAATATCTTTCTATGAGATATACATCAAGTGAAACTTTAAACTTTATGCTACTGCTTTACTATTTACTTGTTACTTTGCTGCTTATTTTTCTGATTTATGCTGCTTATTATAACTAAAGATCCCCATTTTTATTCATTAACGCTGATCTTTTTTTATAGATCTACTATTATAAGTAAGCACTGCTGTTATCACCTTTTTATATTAAAAATTAAAATTCTTTCTTAAATTTAGAAAACAGCGATTATCTTGTGCACACACACACAGCAGAAAACGTATCATACAAAAAGTAATCCAATTCTTGCATTAAAGTTTAGCCACATCTTTTAGAAAATCCTCATCAAACTGAGTCCCCTCTAGGACCAAATTCAACTGCTTTGACAACTTATATCTAAGAGCAAGACTTGGACAGTACGAGAGGATTTTAGCCATGTTCTGAGATGAATCATGAGGTCTGTTCCTGTCCAGCAAATACCTGCAATTGATTGATGATTATATTAAATTGCTTGCATTACTTTAGTAATTATTACTGTGAAGAAAATTGAAGCTATAATTTCTAATGCCAGTTACATGTACATGTACTTGACAAACTACCAATAGTATTTAACTATCAATGAACCATCAATATCATAATAGTACCTGCTAGCTAGCTCTTGAACAACAGAAGGAGTTAGTGTATATACAGATCTGTACTCATTAAGATATCTCATGTTACCTCTCAGGACTACTTTCTGATACAAAGGATTGACCCAGTCAGCTAGTATAGTGTGTTTGTAAGCTTCTGCAACAATCAGAGACTATTGGAAGACAAGTAATGAAAAGAAGATATAATTATATGCTTAGAAAATGTAGTGTACTTAAGGAGTACTATAAAAATCTAAAGTACTCTATTTTTTTGTTACCTCGCTAAACGGTTGATCCTCCATAAACTTCCTAACCTCTTTGGCATCCATGTTTATTATCACTTTGCCAGACTGGAGGAGAGAGAGTTGGAGTGCTACTAGTCTGGCCTGCGATATACAGAACTCTGCACTAGTCAAGCAATCATTCTGAGAGAGGAAGAGAATTGAAAAAATTAACCAGTATCATTATTATTGAGTTATTGTAGCTAGCTAACTTGTGCATATATTTTAGAGGCATCATTAAGATCAGAGTACATTCTCTTTAAAGTTGAAACACTCTCTGGGCCTAAAAAATAAAAATAAATAATTAAAGTTATACATGCATGCATCTGTGGCCTTCAAAAGCATGTACAAGCTCTTCCTTTTACCAAATGATCTGTGTTTCAACTTCTTCATGTCTTTCAATGCTTGATCCTCCTTTGCTTTTGCCAATTCACGGTACATCCCAAACTTAAGCGCAACCATCTGCATCTTCTCATGATCATTCTTACAGTTTTTACGAAGATAATCCATCAAAGCAACTCGCAATTGCTCAACCTAAGAAGGCGGTTATACTTAAAATTTGATTTCTAATTGTTTCAGTTACTTTTTCCACTCCGTGATGTACTAGTGACTCAAATTGATCACATTCAAGGAGCAGCTGTATAATGTAAGTCATTTCACGAAACCGCCCGACACCAGTCAGCACACGAACCTATAAACAAACAAACAAATAAGTAAACAAGCAAACAAGTAAATAAATAAATAAATGAATACCATTAATTTGTAGTGTTTTCCTTGATATAATTTAGCCGTAATGTCGCGGCTAACTTTCAACACTTCAGCTATACCATCAACAGAACAACCAAGAGTGAAGCAGTCATGAGATCTTATTAATAACTCAACCTGCATTGAGAGAGCTATAGGGAGAGAAACACAATATGGAACCATTATTACTAGTAGGTAATTTTGAAAGGAGCTAAAAATTTAGTGAATTTGCTGATTTAATATAGCCATTTGTCAAAATTTAAACCAGCAATTTTAAATGTTATGCAAAACTTCAATGACACATGGAAAAATTTTTTTGAATAACATTTCTAAAATTTTGAGAAAACTTAGCTCCTTCAATAATATCAATATTATATCCACTACACAGTAAAAGGAAAGGCAAAGCAAGAATAGACATAACAAAATTATATTCACAGGATTCTGAAGGTTGGTCTTCCCCAGAGAGTGATTTGGTGAGTGAGAGGAGGTTCCTTCCCATTAGGGCGTGGTCACTGCACAATTGAGCCAACGACATGAAACTACTGGTAGTCATGTGGGGTTCGTAGACTTTGACTCTTGAATAATCGTGTTCCTGACCTAAAATAATAATAATAATAAAATTAATTAATTTTAATTAGCAACTGCTGACTTACCGCCAATATATGACTGAAGAGACGCCGCAATACAATTACTCAAAAAACCAGCAATCTGTGTAAACATTATTTTTAAAATTAAATCAATTTTTTCTCTCTCAATTTCTTGCCCCTCCCCCCTTACAAGCTCCTCCCCTTATGTGCCCCTCCCCCTTACATCTCGTCCTTGCATATTAGATGAGGTGACTAGACTCTTAGCCAGTGAATATTTCTCAGGATTAGTACTTGAGAGAAGATCAGCCAAAGTATCATAAACATCAGATAATACTAGAGATGAATAGGTCTTTCGTAGCGCCTATCAATAAATATAATAATAATAATAATAATAATAATGATAATAATAGTCTATTTTACCACTGCTATTTTAAATATGCTAATTATACACAGGCAGCATTTGTGGGCGTGGTTAGCTCGATCGGACAGCTGCTGCAACATTTTAATGATCTCGTTAGAAACTTTATTCTTAGGATTAGTGGACTCGTCTGCTCCAGGGGGCGGGGTCAGGGAGGGGACAGAGAATCGACGAAGAGGTCGATTAGCAAGTAACTCGAGAATTTCAGGAGTCAAATGATCCGGAGTTAGTTTACCCTGAGACAACTTGATGCAACACTATAGGGGGAGAGAGTGATGAATTATAAATATAATGAGAATTAGATCTTTAGCATTCTTACCAGTACTATGGTAAGATCAGGAGAGTCGTACTGAAATAAATCGGCTAATTCTCGTGCTTCCTTTATCAGGCAGACATTGAGCAAACGACCAATCACTACATCAAGAACATGTTGCTCCTAAAAATAATAATAATAATATACACAACATAAGAACAGGTATAGGTATCAAAAAAATTATAAAAACAGAGAATTCACTACTTTTCATTTTTGGCAAAATTTGGCCAAAGTCACTGTACTATAATACAGGGACTTTTGCCCGATTTCAGAACAACTTTAAAAATTCATAAAAAATCTAATTTTGATCTGAATCAGCTCAAACTCTCTGCACAACATAAGTACATGTATATGCATCAGGAAATGTAATAAAAATGGAGAATTCTCTACTTTTTATTTTTGGCGAAATTTGGCTCATGACCCTGTACTATAGTACAGGGACTTTTGCCCGATTTTGGAGCAACTTTAAAAATCCATAAAAAATCCAATTTTGATCGGAATTAGCTCAAACTTTCTACGCAACATAAGAACATGTATATGTATCAGGAGAATAACTACTTTCATCAAAAATGAATAAAAAGGTTGCAGACACGCTAGGACTAAACTCACCTCCACAGTGAGAGCATATTCCTTATTTTTCTCCATCACAGTGGGGACTACAGTCTCTGGTAATATCAACTGGTTGATTTGCGCTATCTTATCCCACTGAGAAGTGGCTACTACAGACAGTGTTGAGAGGATTGGCAATAGTGTGGGGGATATCTGCCGTGAGTGTAGGGTAGGACTTAGCATTGGGTCTGTTATCAGCTCAGGCAATGATGGCTGCTGTCCCTGTAAAGAACAATGATTTATATTTTAATTATCAACCAGTAATAAATTTATATATTTATTATTATTATTATTATTATTATCTCCATACGTTAGATTGTAAGTGACTCATAACAGCTCTTATGTGCGAGGTCCATATGTCTCTCTCAGTCTCTTGTATGGAGAATGGCTGTCCTGACTCTCTCTTCCAGTGGTAAGCTAACACCAGTAACAATGTCCTCTCGTTATGACTAATGGTGTCTGGTGAGGTTGACTGCTTTACTATTGACTGGAGGGAGAGAGAGAAAGGAAGAGAAAAGGATAGAGCAGAAATGAAGGAAGAAGATTACTTGTAATACATTTACTGGAAAACGTTCAAAACAAGCATAAATTACATATACACATGTATTTGGAGCATCCTTCAAATTATAAGCTCTTACATGTACATGTACATAGACAACATGTTCATTGTATATTTTATATCTTTTCTTACTTCGAAAAACTCCACAGCTGCTTCAGGTCTGACCCCGTCAGTAATGAAAGAGCGGTGACACTTCTCCCAGAAACTGATCCTCGCTGGTTGGTACTGCCAGTAACTGGTACCAACCAGTCTCTGGTACTTGGACTCAGCCTAAAGCATGACATTAAACCAAGAGAACCCCCTCATCATGTACTCTTGATTAAATTAATAATATTTAATCTTAATCATACATGCATGTAGTCATTATAATAAAGTATCATTATTATTTCGAATATACTCAATAATCATTCTACTTTCTTAATTCTATTCCTTTTCTCATATTGCTCTCATTCCTCTTTCTTCAGTTACTTCCACATTCCCCCTCTCTCCCTTTTCCCTTTTCCCTCTCTGACCTCTTTAAGAGTCACTTCAGCTGTTGGTATATCAGCCACATTAGCGTATTCCTTAGCAGCTGCAAACTGACCCTTAACGACCAGTTCATGGAGTGTGTTGAGTCCATCCACCCTCACTCGGACTATGTACATCTCAAGGAGGGAGAGGGAGGGAGAGGGGGAGAATTGAACTGTGAATTTAAACGCTGGTATGGAGGAGAGGCCTGCTTTGTCTAGTATGTGTGATATTTTGTATAATCTTGAGAAACCAAGACCTTAAAGTAAGAAGAGAGAGAGAGAGGAAAGGAAGAGGGAAATAAAAGTAATAATAATGATGAGAGAAAAGGTCATAAAACATTAAAAATGATATATTGTCGCACTCAATTGTAATAACTAAAGGATAGGCATCCGATAGCGGCCGTTGGGATTTCCACGCCTAGTGAGGACAGCTGGTCTACCAAGAAGTCAACCCTTATCAAGAACTGGAGCCAAGAGGAGACCTCATAAGGTGCTGACCATCCTCCTGGGCCAGTCCCATTCACTCAGAGCACTGCTGCGCTGCTTTAATGCAGCTGGACAGTCCCTTTGGTTTTAAAGGCACTAAAATGATATTTTTTAATAAATTATTATCAGTTATGATAACAATCATTGTTCCTAGGAACTGGAACACCTAACCAGTAAATACATTTACAATTACAAGTATATGAAATTGCAGTTGTACATAAAGTACAAATACATGCACTAAATACAAGTGTATTATAAACTCCCATTGTTTACAGGTGCATTGTGTATTTTGCTATGCTCCTCTAGCTAAACAAGCATCTCCCAATGTAACATTTGAGACTTAAAGTATATATCAGGAGGTGCGCTAATTGGAGCTAGTATTATATGGTAATACCTTCATATCATTCATTACCTTGACAAGAGAAATTTTGTCCAAAATCAATTTCGGCTAATAATTTGCATAATTGTATCCTTTCGAAAGGAGTCGGACATGTGACTATCATGTGATTAGCAAACGTCGTAGCTATCTCCTCGACCCACTGGACTCCGCCCACTTTAGCCGGATATCCTTGCACCTTACACTAATGGGAGTGGTCATAATAAGTCACACCTCCTTTAAATGGACGTACTTTATCCATCTGTAGGTTAAACTGGTTGAGATAGTCTTTACTTTCCTTTAGATCACATCTTGTGATGAATTCCTCGTGGAACTTCATAAATGAATGCAGTGGATTGAACTGTGGAAACAAAAATAACAATAATAATAATTAATAATATTTAATATCACTATGAAATGTACATGTCACATTGATACACTAATAGATTTATTAATCTATATGAGTGGGCAGTGCAATGTGCGTGCTTCAAGCTGATTGGACAATAAAAATGTGTGGGCGGCAGAGAATTTTTTGTATAAAATGGTCTGCATAACACTGGAATAGATAAATTTGTCATAATAACACTATGGCAGCTAGTCTACTAGCAGGAGATTTACAGGGAAATACACCAATCAAGGGAAAAAATATCCTGCAGACGGTACAGACGCCTTATACTCCACAGACGCCTTATACTCAAGAGATCAAGAAATCGATTCCATTGTTCCATGACCTAGAGGGCCTTGTATGTGGCAGTGATCCTAGAGATGTTGTCTTGTTTGGAACTCAGGCCAACTTTTCATTTAGCATAGCTCTAGCTAGCCTCCGTGCCAATGGATCCCAGGGAATAACAGCAACCTGCTTTAAAGAAGATTTGACTCGTAAACCTACGAGGGGGGGTTATCACGCAACAACATTACCGGATTTTAACAAAAGTAAGAAAGAAAACTTAGATTGGTGCATTACTAATGGTAGTTACAGTAATGATGGCACCCTATGGGGTTTGAATTTGTCAAACGCAAAAAAATTGACAAATATAAAAGCAGCTTTAGACGTCTCGGATTTCTCTCGTACTTGGCGAAATGATGTTCAAGCCCTACTACTAGAGATACCAGATGACCTCATGGTAGCTGGCAAAGTCGTATGGTTCCAATGCCCCTGGATACCACGAAGCGAGAAAAGATATAGCACATCTGGCCTGATTAAAGATTTCATGAAAGCAATGGAGAAAAGGCAACAAGTTGGCGATTACTTGCTGATTGGAATTACTCAACATGACGATTACTTTCAAGAGTACAACCTGGAGGAAATGCAGTTAGAGCAAAAAATCTATGGATACAGGTTTCAAGGTGCAGACACAGAGCTCATCAAAAAGATTCTTGGACGCGGCTACAAACATGAGGCATATGAGAAAGATATCCATGGTTATATATTCAATGAGCATGAAACCTTAGTCTTCAAGAAAATGAGTAGCGAAGAAGACTTTGCTGACATGATGAGTAGTCTGGCTATTAATGATGATGATTCCCTGCTTACCCGAGTAACTACAAAAGAAGTAGTTGTCTTTAAAGAAGAGGATCGTTCCTTTACTGCAGCACTGGCTGAAATGCATGCCGAAAAATTGAACGCAATCAAGACTGGTTATCTTTTTGAAAACCCCTCTGATAACCATTATATCTCAATGATTCTTCATCAGTGTATAATCAATGGAGAAAAAGCCCAGCTGCATCCAGCTGAAATAGTTGAGAACATAGAAAGCCACTTGCAACTAGTTTATATTGGTAAAGTTGTCTGGTATCAGTTGCCTCCAAGCTGTGACGTCAAGGTGGAGCAAATCAAGAGCTTCATGAGCAACATTGGAAAGAAGCAAGTGACAGGTGACTACCTACTTATAGGGACAACAACCTCCAGTCAATTCACTGCCCTCAAGATTGGAGGAATGATTGGAGATGGTAATGAAGGTCATGCTTATAATGGCTATAAGTTCATTAGGATAGATGTTAAGCTCATTAATATGCTCACTGCTCGTGGTTACAAGCATGGATCTACTGATGCTAGAGTGTTAGTGTATGAGAAAGCAGGAAGAGGAGCTGAAAGGAAAGGCATGACACCAAAACCAAAAGCTAAATAAAACTTACATAGCTATAGTATGGCTATAAACAATAGAACGTTTCTAACTTTAAATAAGCATTAATTAAAAAGTAATTTAGTTCTTTGATTATTATGATAATTATTACTTTAATTTATAATTGTGCATCAGTCCAGTTATATTTTTCATAAACTTGTGCATGATAGACAAGCAGAAATGTGCCCCTAAACACATGCTCTGTTTAAGTACATCACTACACCATGCCTACTTATAGGCTGACCACAACAGAGTATTGCCTTAGTAGCAAATTTCTGCTTGTCTGTCGTGCCAAGTTTAATGAAAATACAGGAAAAGGAAATGAATCATTTAGTCATTCTAAACAAAGAGCATTATCATCATCAAAAAGACACAGTTTATAGTTTGTCCCCAGATTATTAGACATACAGTGGAACTAGTAATTATGGCAGGAAGAAGAGGATTGATGTCTAACTTTGAAGTAGAACCACAACCAGTAGTATGTGGGCAATTGCAATACACCTACAATCAACCGCAATCTGGTTTGACCTCAGGTTTGACTGGCCTGCAAATTACACCTGTAAGACCTGTAAGACCTGTAAGACATGCTCAAATACCGTTTGACGAGATTGATTTTCTATCCAGACTATTGACTGGTCCTCAGGCAAAAGAAATTGTCATCTATGGAGAAGGTAATCCTCTCTTTGACATAGCACTAGCTACAGCACGTAACAACTCATGGGAAGGGATAAGCTATGGAGTCCGTCATGTTTTTAAATTTGAAGAGAAGAAGCTCCGATCAATTGAGCAATGTAGTCAAATGGGCCGACAACAGGGTCTGAGTGAACTTGAAATTATGAAAAAAATTCAGGATACACTCAAGACCCCAGCACCTCCTTCAATGGAAATTCATCAATAAACTCGTCTCCTATGGATACAATAGCAATGGAATCATGAGTTTGTTTTCTCATCAAAATGGCGAACACCAGACATTCGTATTTAAAAAGAAGTAGCAGCCTAGGAACCTTAATTTAGACATTCATTCATTGTAACAATAAGTACATGTACATCTTATAGTTTTATTATTAACTGTGGCCATCACAGTAATTAAAGTAACATTTTGTAATTCTTATTACTCTAATGGTTATCCATAATTATTAATTATCATTTATGTGGTCACGTTTATTTGGGTATACACCAATAGTTTCTGCTTTACTGAATGTACAATGTATATGCATAATTTGAACTCTATTAACAAAAATACTACTACTAATAATTAATTACATGTACTACAACATAGTAATACTAATTTATTTATAAAAGATATACCATATAGTGGGAAATTTTTGTGGCCCAAAATTTTCGTGGATTTCGTGTTTTTTTCTAAATTCACGAAAATAAAATCCGCGAAAATCAATTTAATATGGTTCAAGATGGCCAAAAAGTAGAAAACCACGAAAATTAAAGCAACAAAATTGATTTTTAGACAGATCCGCAAAAATTTTGGGCCACAAAATTTCTCACTATATGGTAGTCCAGAAAAGTGCCATGTGCATGCTTTAATCTGATTGGACAAACTGAGTGGGATGGACTGGTAGTTTTAGTGCAGTCAGTGTGGTCAGACTTATCAATTGTTTACTTTTCAGAGATATTTTCCTAAGATCATGGCAATATATCTACAAAATAATCCAGTGGACAAGAAGAAACCTACTCCTCCACACCAAATTTCTGAGTATCAAAACTTAGAAGATCTTATATGTGGCAGTAAAGAAGAGGATCCTAGAGATGTTGTCTTGTTTGGGGATCAGGCCATCTTTACCTTTAGCATAGCTCTGGCTAGTCTCCATGCCAATGGATCCAGTGGAATGACAACAGCTTGTTACAAGCAAAACCTCATCAATCCATCTAAATATGGACCTTTTACAACAATACCAGATTTCAACGAAAGAAAAAGAGAGTGTATAGAATGGTGTATCACTAATGGTGGTCACAATTTCCTAAGGTTGACTGATAAAGCAAAATTTACAAATATAAAAGAGGCTTTATCTGTTCCAGACTTCTCTCTCGCTTGGCGGAATGACATTGATGCTCTCAAGCTAGAGATACCACTTGACCTGGTGGTCACTGGTAAAGTGGTGTGGCTCCAGTGTCCATGGGTGCCAGGACCATATGGCGTGGTGAATGGAAGCTCTGGTACTAGCAGATTGATTCAAGATTTCATGACAGCGATGAAGGACAAGCAAAAGGCTGGTGATTACCTGCTAATAGGGATTGCCAATAATAGGGTGTATATGGAGTATTATTATCTTGCAGAGATTTTAGGTGAAGTTCCAGGAGACAAAATCATGTTTGGATACAGGTTTCAAGGTGGAGACACAGAGCTGATTAAAAAGATTCTTGGACGCGGCTACAAACACGAGGCATATGAGAAAGATATACACAAAATAATATTCCATAACCATTTGACACTAGTGTTCAAAAGAGAAGGCACTCTTGCTGGCATGATAGGCAGGACAGAAATTATTAATGATCCTCTGGTTACCCGAGTAACTACAAAAGAGGTTGTTGTTTTTAAAGAAGAGGATCGTTCTTTTAGTGAAGCACTGGCAGAATTACACGACAAAAAATTGGATGGAATGAGTGTTGGGAATCCAGAAGATTTGTCTGATGACCTTTTCATCTCAAAGATCAATGAATGCATTAGTACTGGAGAGAAGGATCAGCTACATCCAAACAAAATGATTGAAAATATAACAAGTCAACTTTCACAAAGAAAAGGCTTTTATACTGGTAAAGTTGTCTGGTATCAGTTACCTCCAAGCTGTGACGTCAAGATGGAGCAAATCAAGAGCTTCATGAGAAACATTGGAAAGAAACAAGGAAAAGGTGACTACCTACTTATAGGGACAACAACCTCCAGTCAATTCACTGACCTGAAGATTGAAGAAATGATTGGAGATGGTAATGAAGGTCATGCTTATAATGGATACAAGTTCATTAGGATAGAGGTTAAGCTCATTAATATGCTCACTGCTCATGGTTACAAGCATGGATCTACTGATGCTAAAGTACTAGTGTATGAAAAACAGGAGGAGAATAAAACATAATAAACACCAGTAGATATAGGTTTGTAATGGCATAGCTTTTGTTGTCTTTATAATTGTTATAGTTATTAAAATGAACTTGGTCAAGCAAATAGCAATGAAGAGTGCATAAGCAATGAAGAAATAAGTATACTATTATGCTATCAATAAT